CGGAAGTAGTTTGTCACTCTTTCTTCCTAGTCTGTCTTTGTTTTGTAGCTCATCTGAAACCTTTCCACCATGGGTGACCCTGCTGGTTTTTCAAAACACCGGTGGCATAGCCCTCAGAATCATAGCAACTCAAACCACCACAGCACGACAGACAGACGAGTGGTGGCCGTTTGGTTTTATGTCTATACTGTGTCTTTAAACCTTAAGGCTCTACATATTTTAAATTCTAAACTTTGGGATAGAAAAGGCAAAGTCTTTCTCTCTTGACCTATTTTCACATGCTTACATCTATGAGGTCAAGTTGCTTGATTGTGTTGTTTAGTTCCTCTGTAACTTTGTCCAGTTTCTTTCTGTTTGTTCTGTCCCTTTTTGAGAGTTGTGTGTTACAATCTCCCACTATAATTGTAGATTTATCTATTTATTTCTTCAATTTCAGTAAGGTTTGCTTCATGTATCTTGGTGTTCTTTCATTGGGAGCATATATATTTATTATGGTTATGTTGTCTTGCTCAATTGACCCTTTGAGCATGAGATAGTGTTGTTCTTTATCTCTTACGCTGGTTTTTATCTTAACGTTTACTTTGTTGGAGATTAGCATTGCCACTCCTGCTTCTTTATTGTTTCAGTTAGCTTGGTAAATTTTTTCCATCCTTTAACTTTTAGTCTGTTTTTGTCTTTGTGTGTAAGGTCTGTCTCTTGTAGGCAGCATATTAAAAGGTCTTGTTTTCTTATCCATTCTGCCACTCTCTGTCTCTTCACTGGTGCATTCAATGTAATTATCAATTGGTATGAATTAATTGCTACCATTATATTACTTTTTTGGTGGTGCTGTTCATTCTTTTGTTCTTCATGCCTTCTTGTGTTGGGTTTGTGTTTTTTGTGCTATTTCTTGTCAGTTTCTTAGTTTTCATGTTTGCTTGTTCTGCTTAGAAATTCATTTTTATGAAAAGTTGTGAAGTGTTAACTTTCTTTGGGGTTACCTTATAGTCTACTAACTTTTCTCTCCATTTAAAATAATCCATTGTCTTCTGTAATTTACCTGACATCCTCAACCACCTGGGTCTCTGTTGCTATGTTTGTCCCTTCTTTGACATTGATATAATTTTGATCTTCGGTTGACCTTCCAGCTCCTTTGAGTTTGTTGTTGTAGTCTTATTCTGTTCTGGACTCTGCTATCTGTTGACTGAGTGACAGGTGTTGTTGCCACGCCTGTCAATCTCTGTTCGTTGTCTGTTCTTGTTGGTTTTCAGTCCACAGATGTTTTGAAGTGCTGGGTTGGTTTTGATAAAATCTCTCAGATTCTGTTTATCATGGAATGTCTTGATCACACCATCATATTTGATTGATAGTTTTGCTGGATAGATGATTCTTGGTTGACAGTTATTTTCTTGGACTTTTTATATGTCTCCCCATTGCCTTCTTGCCTGCATTGTTTTTCTGAATAGTCAAAGCTTAATCTAATTTGCTTGCCTTTATAAGTGACATTTCTCTTCTCTCTGGCTGCTTTTAGTATTCTTTCCTTGTCTTTGATTTTGGAGAGCCTGATTATTATATTCCTTTGGTGACTTTCTTTTGGGGTCTATCATTCCTGGGGTATGTTTGGCTTCTTGAATGTTTATCTTCGCATCTTTCAAGATGTTAGGGAAATTTTCTTCCAGAAGCTCTTAAACTATCTCCTCTGTGGACTTATTTGATTCTTCCTGTTCCGGAATGCCAGTAATTCTTAAGTTGTTCCTTTTCATGTTATCCAGCATGTATCATATAATCTCTTCAGATTTTTTTTTTTAAATCTTTTTTGTATCATTTTTTCCCTTTGTTCCTCTATCTTAGCACTATTGAGAGATTTGCCTTCTAACTCACTAGTTCTGGCTTCCATCTTTTCTATTCTGCTCCTTTCCCTTTTCGGTGTATTGTCCATTTCTGGTATCTTATTATTGATCATCTGAACACCTTTTTGCAGGTTTTGAATGCTTTCCAATGCTGCATCAATCTTATTTGGTTGCTCCTGTAGTACTTTCCTGACTTCTTCCTTGTTTCCCTCCACCCCTTTTCAGAGCATTTGAATTTGTTTCCATATAATTCTTCTGAATTATTTCTCAGGCATATCCAAAACCTGTTCTTCCTCCTCTATAAAGCTTTTGTCTGTCTCCAGTTCATTTGCATCAGCTACTCTCTTTTGGTTTTGGATATGTTTTGATATCGTTTGTTGCTTTTTATTTGTCATGATAGTTATGTGTTTTTGTTTTTTGTTTTTAAAGCTTAAGTGAATTTTTTTGTTTGTTGTTAAGCTTACTGGGTGTTTCCTGGTGAATATGATCAGGAGATAGACTTCCCTTTTCGCGTGTACTGCTTAGCAGATGCTGTTGGCTCTTGTCTCAGTGGTGGAATATTACTGGGTATGCTTATAGCTTGGCTATATGGCCATGATTGTTGTCTCTTATTGGGTAATGTAGGGAGAAAAAGCTCCCACCTCCACGAAAGATGTGTGATCACAAGGACCAAAAGCAGAAGTAATATAAATGCATAGACAAAAATCACCACTTTGGAACAGTAATGAAGCTGTGGTTGACTGTCCCGAGCTACACTGTCAGTGTGTGTGTAATTAGAAGCCTCCATCAGGGTGTGGGGGTTTCCGCTCTCTCAGGCCCCTCCTCTAGTCATTATAGTAGAGGTGTACAGGTAGATATTGGGGAGTTAATGGGAGAAAGATTGTCCACTATTTTTGTCTCTGAAGGTCAGTGAGGTATCTGCGTGTGCACAGCGCAATTCTCGGATGGTTGAGTCCTTTTGTGCTGGGGTTTTACAGATTGTTTTTAATTGGTCCTGTGCAGGGAGCTCCGGCAGCACAGCAGCTGCGAATGGGCCTGCCAACTGCAAGGTCAGCAGCTCAAAACCAGTAGACGCACCATGGGAGAAAAGGCAATGTGCTCTGCTTCCACACAGACCCACAGTCCCAGAAACCCCGCACAGGGTCATCTGGAGTTGGAACCTACTCCACAGTGCACCATTGTGAAGGGTCCCGCTGGGGAAACTTTTCCAAGCTCCCTATCTCTGTCATGTGGGAAAACTGTCCTGCCTGATGTCCGGGCTGAGCAATGAAGGTGTGACAGGGAAAAAGAGGGAGAAATATGTAGTCTCCGCGTCTCTCTCTCTCTCTTTTTTTTTCTTTTTTTTTCAGATGCCTCTGCAACGCTTTTAGCAGGGTTTTCTGAGCCAGATTGGCTTTAGACACGCCCTCTAAACTCTGCCAGGGTCAGGTAGTCGCCGAGGGAGTCTGTCTCCAGATTCCTAACTCGCCGTATTTTCCATAATATCGTGATTTTTTCACTTGCAAGTGCGGGAAACTGATGTCCTGAATCGTATGGCAGATCCAGAGCTCTGGAGTTGTTCTTTGAGCGCTTCCTATCTGGTTTTTGCTGCTATAGCCAAAAGCTAGAAGTCGTTTTTTCACATGTTTGAGTAGAGTTCTGTTCTGGGTTGAATTGTATCCCTCCAAAAATGAAATGTTGAAGTCCTAACTCTCAATATCTGTGAATGCAACCCTATTTGGAAACAAGATATTTGAAGATCAGTTAAGACAGCATTAGGTCATACTGGAAGAGACTGGTCCTAATCCAATGAGGAGAAGAGACACACAGTTAGAGAGAGAGGGAAGAACGACAAGTAGGATGGAAGTAAAGTTTGCAGCTATAAGCACAGGAGCCCCTAGGTCTACCAGAAGCCAGGAAAGACAAGACTGGATTTTCCCCTGGAACCTTTAGAATGAACGTGGCCCTGCTGACATACTGAACTTGGAATTCCAGTCTCCAGAACTGCAAGGCAACACATTTTTGATGTTTTAAGTCATCCATTGCATAGTATTTTATCTTGGCAACTCTAGGAAATTAATAAAAGTTAATATCCTTGGATTGGGAGGGAAAGTCCCACCTAGTCAGGTGACCTTTTCACTCACCTTCAAATAATACATGGGCCGAGTTTCATAGGTCATTCCTAGGAAATGCTGAGTCGCCACATCCTTGTATTTCTCACTTATCTGACTCATCCACTGATAGATCTGAAATGGCCAGGGTAAAAATAATATTTATGAATAAAGTAATTAAATCTTGAGCTCTGTACTCTAAATTATAATATCTGTGTGGTTAAATGGAACACCAGATTATCACCTTCCCCTTTTCCTTTAAAGATCTACTCTACTACTAAGTTTTAGGACAACCTGTTGAGTTCTACATGTATATTCATGTACTTATCAAGAAATAACAATTTTAATACTCCACTGAAAACACTTCAGAAGCATTGGGCACCCTTTAAAGTGACCACCAGTTTAACTTGCGTAAGGCACCCAATCATGCCGGAAGTTTCAGGTCAGTCTTATTTTGCAGAATCTTTTACAGTCTTTATTATCATTGTTGTTAAGTACCGTCAAGTCAGTTCTGACTCACAGCAACCCTGTATAAGGTTTCCAAGGAGTGACTCATGAGCTTGAACCGCTGACCTTTTGTTTCAAACCGACTTTGCAGTGCAGCTCATGAACCCACAACTTTATGGATCTCTTCAATATTGTTAATAATGTCCAGTGTTCCAGGATTAGAGAAGAGCTGGGAATGCCTTCATAGACTATATCAACAGAAATTTCTAAATGTAGCCCAAATTTATCATTTCATTTCAACTGAGTTGAAGTGAATAGATGCTGATTTTGTTACAAGTCTAGAGATGGCTAGAAGGTAAGGGTTTTATACTGTAGCCTGTAAATCAATAATCTGGATTTCTGTAGGGTGAAGGGAATGAGAATTCACAAGCATAAGAACTATTAAGACAGAGTCATCAGCATGTGATAAGATATCCCCCACATTAAATGTTTATAGTTGGAGTTGCTAAATGACAATAATTATGGTAAATAATAAAAATGAATTGTTGTTGCTGTTAAGTGTTGTTGAGCTGATTCTGACTCATACAACTTTGTATAGGGTTTTCAAGGAGTAGCTGGTAGGTTTGAACTGCCAACATTGCAGTTAACAGTCCAGTTCTTATTCTACAGCACCACACCAGGACTCCATAATCATCAATTGTTGTTGTCATTGTTCAGTACCAGCAAGTGGGTTCTGATTCATTGTGACCCTTTGTAGAGCTTCCGAGGAATAGCTGGTAAAGAACATTACATAAATTATGGATTAGTCATATAGTAACATAATCTGAAATCAAAATGAATAAGGAATAATAATTTACTATTTCAAAATTGTTGTATCTTGCTTGACATTCACCTTAGCATGGACTACCTATATATAAACTACATTATCATAACAATAATAGTGATGGCATTTTCAATTTAGTTATGTCAACCGACAAGAGCAATAACTCATCACATGGGTATCATGTGCTCTTTTGTGCTGGAACTGCGTCAAATTGAGGTGCCTTAACTCTTGGGAATGCTACAAATACCAGGGAGCAGCAGTAGCAGCTGTTTGTTGATGACTTCATCAGTAACGGTGTTGCTTTGTGTCCTTTACTGTATTTACCTCTCACAAAAATGCTGCAGCACAGGTACTGCTATCCCTGCATCACAGATGAGAAGGTTAAATGTCTTGGGTTAGGTCCCACAACAAGCAAGTTGCCAGGACATCTCTGATACAAGAGTCTCAATTCTTGTTCAAAATTATGGACTCTAGTATTTTGTGAAAATATTGTTGTTGTTGTTGTTGTCAGGAGCCATCGAGTCGGAACCGACTCATAGCAACCCCATGCACAGCAGAACGAAACAATGTCCGATCCTGGGCCAACCTCACTACCACTGCCACACTTG